ATGACCTCTCCCAGCAGTTGCATGTAGATGTTAAATAGCAAGGGGACAAAATGGACCCCTGCGGAATTAGAGACCAAGGAAGAATGGCAATACTCACATATGACTGTGTGGGAATTTTGTACTCTGGTATCAGCACCCAATTATATCCTTATTTATTTATGATATTTAGATGACACCTTAAAAATTGTTCTCAGAGAAACCCACACCATAAGTACCCAATGAACTGTGAAGAGCCACCCTGAGTAAGGTTATACTCACCCATCTTAGGGCCAACCTAAAGTAGTTGAATTCTCCAAAGACATTGTGGAAATATTCTAATGGGGGGGGGGGTCTGAGTCAGCTCACATCAAATAAAAACTGGGAGACAATTGAGGTGGGGAACAGACACGACCATGGGCTCTACAGAAAAAAAGAATAGCTTGTTTTAGATGAGTCACTACAGCAGTTGGCTGGGGATTATGGAAGCTGTAGTCAGACACCAGGTGGGGATGCCCTGCACTATGAACAAGAGGAAATGAAGAAAAGTGGATTTTAAGAATCCCTTCTCCTGTACAAATTTACCACTTTCTCAGACCATTTTCAATGTTTTTCCCTTATCTAAAATGGAAGTGGCTACCCAGATCAGGGCCTTAATGATGGTAGCCCCCAGTCTGTGAAATTTCCTCTCAGGAGTGGTCTCCTGCCCGCATTGCTGAGATCAAATGACAGGTGATTCATGATGTTTTATGTTATTATTGGGTATAACTGCAATCTTCCAGTTGCTTTATATTGCTGTTAAGTTACCTTGGGGATCCTAGTGAGTATCAATATATAAAATGAAAGAAATGCAGTTTCAGCACAGTGAAAATGGAGATACATGAAAGATGGGAATGCAGCTTTTAAATGGATGTCATTCCAGAGCTATCACAGTGGATAGGAGATAGTCACACATTCATTTCATGATCACAATTTAAATGCTGATCTGTATTGTGTGACGTTTACCCTTTTCCCAGTGTTCAGGGCTGCTATAGTCACATGGGAACAGGAGGAGGGCATCATGAAGATCTTCACAGTTCATTATCCCGACACACCCAACCTAACTTGGAATGATTTGACAGGTGGACCATTCCTTTTACTCTGTCTTCATGTCAGAGAAAGTTTGGCCTGTCTGCATGGCTGCTGTTAAAGTCATCGAACAATGGCCAATAACAAAACAACTGTTTTACCTTCCCCTATCCTAAAAGTACAATGGGTATAGCACTAGCTAGGTAGCCCTAATATTATTGTGAGGTTGACTCCAACATGGATGTTCTGAAAATGAACCTGTGGGCATTCCTTGCAATTTGATGTTTCAGCTGTGGAAGCTTTCTTGCACGTTCTTGCTGTATAAGATGGGAAGAATTGGTCTGTCTGGAGGTCACATATGGGTATTCCAAGTATGCATGTTGAGGTGGCTCTAATATATAATCTAATATATAAACCTTGCTGTGTTACTGTTTAATAAAAAGTACACTTTAAAGAAGCACTTGGTTGACTGAAAATGGTTACAGAGGAAGCAGGCTTCAACCTAAAACCCGGCTTTGTTTCTTAATATCAGATCTATTCCTTTCCATGTGCCCCTCTTTTTTATATCTGCCAACACCAAGGGGTCAATTGGGCTGCCTTATTTATAGATCCTTCTGTGTTATTATTACACAACACTCCAGTGTTTCGTTTCCAAAGCATCTTGTGAGGATTTATTGGAAATGATGAATAGACTGCAAGGGGGACAAGAAAATAGTATTATTGTAACACTACATAAATATGATTTTTTTCAAATAAACATTAAAATTCCTGATTTCCTTTAACATTGTTAAACATGTCACTTTATTAAGTACTACCAGTCCGATGGATTTAAAGTTATTTTTGGAGAATTAATGCTACTACACCCATCGGCCTTTACATAAAAAAATAGAAAGTTTGAGGAGGAAGAGACAATTGAGGAAAGCAAAGAACAATGAAAAGGGCTGGGAGAACAGAAACTGAGGTGTTCTGTCCTTTGAATTTGAATAGAATGTGACCAGACAAGAGCCACCCAGGAATTTTCAATTTTCTGCTCTGGAAGGATCTAGTGTAATACAGATGGCAACTCAGTATGCAATCTTCCAGATACACTTTTGGCAAAGTCTCTGTATTTTGTAGCTAATAAATCCACCTTTCATGAGAAAATTCTCATAAGTTGCATTTACCAGCTTTTCAGAACAAATATTGAATGCATTAATTATATACCCTTTTACTATCTGCTAAAACAATGCAATTTCTGCTAGGCCATGGCAATCTCTCTATAGGCAAAAACATTTTAAATACTTCACTCATAAAATGGCTGTTCTACTTAGAGAGAGATGCCCATCTAAGCCAACAGCTTATTGCTGTCAAGCTCATGATTTGTTGTTTCATTACCAGAGTAGGCTTTAACTTTTACACTAAAAGCTGAGAGGCAGCTTCCAGTCATGCACACTCAGTTCAGGACTGTACCAGGTGGAAAAAACAACACAGTGGCACAATGTTAGGGTAGTGCTAGCATAGCTAGGGGAAGGCAGGAGGATGTTGCTTGCAAAGCCAGTTCCAAGGTGCAAGGCATTAGTTTCTGTTTTGCAACTGTCTATGTATAACCGAAGGAAGACATTTCATACATGTCATGCCCCAAAGAAAAAGGCATAAAAATAGATGGTTTTTTTCCTCGTTACTCAGCATCAAGGTACACAGGACGCTCAGCAAAAGCAATGTATGATCTTGTAAGCTTATAGATGCACAAGGAACGCCATTGCTCATTCATAAAGATTTTATTACATTAAATGCTCACAAAACTCCTGCCTGCACTGTCTCTGCCTCTTCCTGCAAGGCCCAGAAACATGCCTTCTGGGCAGGAGAAGGAAGGTGCTCACAAGCCCCAGCAGAACATTATTTCCCGCTGGGGACTAGGGCGGCAAGCAGGAGCAGCCCTGCAGGAGCCCGATGCTATGCATGCTCTTTCCACTGGGAGGCAGAATTTCTCTCCTTGCTAGAACAAATGTATGCAGTGTTAGTTTTCAACTATGGGTACATGGTAGGGCTGTCAGAATCCTGCTGAGAAAAGATCCACTCATGGGACCCTAGGAGTGCCTACCTGTGCTTCCTTTCTCTTCCCAGGGGTAGGTTTCTGGGCCTTGCATGAAGGGAAAGGAAGATAGCAATGGAAATAATTCGCACAGTTGAGGTGTACACAGTCCAGCTTCCTGTATGCACAGCGGGCTCCAAGCAGTGGTGTTGTGACAAAGATTAATTCTAAATCCCATCCCTCCATTCTAATCCAATTTGCAGAAAAATGCTTTCAAACAGGCTTCAAACAACAAGAAAATGTTGGTGAAACTCTTACCGACACAGTGTTGGGGGGACTGCTGCTTGACTCCATGGCATCTGAATGGTAAGAGATCAACAGTAATCCATCTTATCCCCCATGCTCTCTGTCTGTATCAAGTATGGACAATATGTGACCCTCCAGATGTGAGACTACCAACTCTCATCATGCCTTATCACTGGCTAATCTGTCTAGCATTGATGCAAGTTGCCATCCAACAACACCGGGAGAGCCATACCTTCTTCACTCCTGATTGTTGCAAAATTTCTGGGTGAATTCATCTGGGCATTTGGAGCAAGTTTCTATTTCTGTGTCAACCAAGTAAGGTGGGGCAGAGGCTGTGAAGGTGTTGAATTACTTTCTAGATGCAGTTATAGAAGGGATGAGAGACAAAAAACTGAAGCTTGACAAGACAGAGGTGCTGGTTCCCGAGTCTTTGAAACTAGTTTTCCACCTGCTCTGTGTGGGACTGCACCCTTTCTGAATGAACAGTCATGCAGCTTTCTGATATTGGCAGCTGGAGCACTTTTTACTAGTTTCAGTTGGTTTGCCAGCTGCAGCCTTTCCTGCAGATGGATAACCTTACCACGGTGATTCATTCTGTCAAAACACCCCTTCATTTATTGTAAAGTCTTAAGCATGGAGCTACCCCTGAAAACAGTTCAGAAACTTCAAGTTGTGCAAAATTCAACAGCCAGAATTTGGACCAGTTCATCTCAATGAAGATCACATTAATTTGTTGGCTCTCTCTGTGCTACTGAGCCCAGTTCAAGCTGTTGGCTATCAGCGTAAAACTGGGGCCAAAATACTCAAGGCTCCACTTCCTAGCATGATCTTCTCCTGTGCACCGAGATCTACAGTGGAGGTCTATCTATGAATACCATTAATAGAAGCCATACACTATGTATTTACGAAGGAGGTGGCCTTTCCCCGGTGCTGTCCTCCGACAGGGCATACAGAATCACTGACAGTGTGCTTATGTACATCAGGTGCTGGGGAACATGGGCAGCAGTGTACTTTTGTCCAGCCTGCAGATTTCTCATGGCCACTATTAAACAGAATACTAGAGGAACCTTGCATCCTATCCAGCACAGCTTTTCTTACTTTAATTGGCTGCATTATTTTCTTATGCCAACTTAAATCTTTCATTGTAACATTTTATAATTTTACAATTTAGTTTTTAAACTGAATTGTTGTGTTGTTTGGATTGCTGATGAAGAGTTGCTGTTTAAATTATGGCTTAATATGTTACTGTGGGGGGGGGGTTGGCTTTTAAATGCTGTATACAGCACTTTGGAATCCTTTATGGATGAATGGTTGTTTTATAGATTAAGAAGAATTATACTAGAAACATAAATCAGATTCATACCAGTTTATAAATAGCTCAGAGAATTAGTTTCCTGGGAAGAGAAAAATGACAAGTTCAGGCCTATAGTACAGAGTTGCTAGTTTCTCTTTTTCTTATCCCCTTAAAAGCTGATCAGTAGGTTTTTCATCTTTTCAAATTAAAATGTCTCTAAATTTGCATTCCAGATGCCTTGCATATATTCCTTCAGATCTGGACATTTGTCTGTACACAGCTCAAGTCAATGAATGCCACAAAAAGAACAATTTCATGCAGAAAATCAAATATAGTGCTGCATGGTGATGGTGCAAAAATGACATTTCCACATGTATTTATTGAGAAATGGTAAAGATATACATTTTTACAAGCATTCAATATTAATTTACATTGTTTTAAATAATGTTAGATCCAGATAAGTCAAGACTTACATTACATAGACCCTTGGCTTCAACAGATCCACAAGGTTGCTATTGCTGGGAGTTCAAATGCAGTATTGGCTCATGTCAGTTAAGTTCCTCTTGAAAAACACTAAATACCACATTTATTCAAGCATCTAGACATGGCTCTAACCCGCCCCCCCCCATTACTCTGAAATGAAATTTGTATCTAAAACTGCAGTGGGCATAGCCTACACATTCTCTACATGCAGAGAGAGATAAATTGGTTAGATTGTGTTGTCTGACCTATTTCTGGAGCATTTACTTCATTGTTTGAGTTTGGACAAATCTTTAAATGCACACTTAATGATATTTTGGTTGGTCCTAAAATAGTTATTGCTCTACTATAAGTTTCACAAACATTCTGATATTGCTTCTTTCTGTGTTCTTGTTCCTACTTATGAAACGGACCGTGCAACTGCAGGGCATGAAAGGCTTGTGCATTTGACAGTTAATAAGAGCCGGCTGCCTACATGCCTTCCATTGCAGATAATGGCTGAGGTGTCACAATTTGTATATTATTAGCCAAGGTCCAGCGAGAAAGAGAGAAGGAAGGGACCACTGAGCCCTAAGGGGAGAGATTGTGCCCCATGTTTTTGTGCACAATCTGCATATTGCATTTTTCACTTTAGTGGTTTACTGAATCGAATTCATCTATCCCATTTTCCATATATTTACATCAAATAAAATTGTGCTGTATTTCTGTATCTCAAGCACAATATTCAAAGTGCTTAATAGTTAAGTGCTGAATCTTTTTTTTCCCTTTTTTAAACTGGTACAGCAATGGTAAAGGCACAATGTTCAGTATTTTAATTGCACAACCTTTTAAAACACAGAATGCTTTTGTTTCTCTTTAGATAAGGATGTAGGGGGGCAGGGGTTTGATTGCATATACATCTATACTGAGATAAAATATAGTGACAATACAAATGACCAAATTTCAATTAGCACAAAACCATGCATTATTTAGAAGAGTTTGACATAACTTAAATTGTAGCATGGCTAAAGATGTGAGGAGCCCTCTCCCACCAGTTCCGACTCCAATAAATTCATCAAATCTCACTGTCATTACTTCAATTTCCCTCAAAAGTTATTACAAATGTTTTACCAGGGAAACCTACCCTGTTTTGCTTCACATCCAAATTTTTCATGCAGACAGTTTTGCCACCTAGCTCAGCATCCTGACCCAGTTTACTCCTCTATCTAGAGTTTTGGCAATTTTGATCCCCTTGCATTCTCTAGGTCAATCTCCCTCAATCTGGTACCCTCCCATTCAGTATGGCCAATGGGCAAGGATGCAGAGTTGCAGCTCAAGGCATATGGAAGTCACCAAATTGGGGAAGGCTGCTGCATATGATACAGAGTACTTCAGTTTTATGAAATTTTGAGACTCGTAATATTATTGAAACAGTATATGGAAGACTTAGTGAAGAACAGATTGGAATGGAGTTGATTCATCTTCTAACCATGTAATTCCATGAACTGGATATTACTTCTAAATGAATGAAACAAAAACACCCATATGGTGTAGTCGTTTTATATAATTGTATCAAAATAAGGTAGTTCTGCAGATAAGTCAGTTTTCATTCTATATGTGCCATTTCATTCTTTAAAAAACTTAAAGAAAAAATCTAAAAGAAATGTACATTTACAGCTCAATTTGACAAAATAAGAGTCTTTTAATTAAGTAATTAAAAAACAAAGCAAATCTTGAATGAGGGTACAATTATAAGTGGTTGGAAAACTACACCTAAGAGGCAGTTATTTCAGATTTTAAATCACAGGCTTCATGGACAACTCCTTATCAGTACCATGTTTAGTGAACAGGGCAACCCTTCATCTACCTCCACCCCACCTCTACACACACCAAGGCTACAACTTTAATAACTCTGTCTTTGGACAGGTTTACTGAATGTTTGCTGTAGTTGTGAAAATACCTTTCCACATGCCATTAAGAGAATCAGCAACTCTGAACCTCTAAAGCTGTTGTGAATTTTGTGAATGCAGAACAGAGTACAGAGGAGAAACTTAGTTTGCAGGCCTCTGCACATTTCCCTGAAAATAAGCTCCACTGAACACAAGGGGACCAGCTTCTGGCATGAATAGGCGTGCATGACATTGCAACCAGCTCAGATTTAATATTCACATTTTTAAACCAATTCAAATATGAACACATATATATGAAGAACAAATCCTCTCCTCTTTTGCTGTGTCCCAGAAGGTACCTGGTTTTGTGTAGCTTATGTAGCAATTCTATGCATGCCTATTTCGAATTATGCACCATGGAATTCCATGGGACCTACTTCGAGGTAAATATATATAGGATTGCACCCTTAATCATTGTAAAGTATTCACACTTATCAGACTGGGCAACAAGAATGGGTTACATTTTACAGTACAAATAAAGCTATACCTATACCTTTCAATCTCTGAGGCTATGAAACATGTTTTATTATTCTGCTAGTAACCATATGCATAGTCACTGCAAAATGGGATTGAACATCTTTCATCATGTAGTATTATAAAGGATCTTCTGCACCAAAATCTGTTGCATGAAAAATGTTGACACTGATTAACACTGAAACCATAAATCAAAGAACACGAATCTTGGGAGAGGCATGTATTATTTTCTCTAATGAATATATATTAGCAAATTAACATGATCCAGACAAATACCCCAAAGCATAATTGCCTGCAGGAGGAAATCTACATGGAACTCAGTGGAGCCTCATTTTCTTCCACTCCCTGCCTGACTTCCCACAGCCAGCTGGGCAAGGGGTAAGTGGACCAGCCATTAATTGTAACAGAAGGCTGATGTAACTATCTGATCTCGCTCCTCTTGTCCCCAAGGTCCCAACCCACAAGGTCCATATAACTAAGAGAGGAGTAACTTCTTAACTGAGACCTGAGGAGAAGAAAAGGAATTTGTAGATGGATTGTATTTATAGAGACATTTTTATACTTCCCTTTGACCCTAACAAGAGCCCCCAAGGCGATTTATGAAAGAAGTACCATAAAATGCAAGTAAAAATACCCTCCAAGCCCCTAGAATGAAAGCACAGCATCACAATCTAGAAGAGTAGAATTAAAACCTTCAATCTCAATTAAAAGCTAAGCAGAATCAACGTATTTTCACTGCCTGCCAAAAATCATAAGAGATGGGGTTAGTTTCATTTCTCTTGGGAGTGAATTCAATAACCAGGGTGCTGGCATAGACAGAGTAAATGGAAAACAAACTCCCCTTTCCTTGTGTACCAAAGCTTGCATACTGTGGTTATGTATGCCCAGAATCTGGAGTAATTTATGGGCTGGAGCCATGGAGTGAACAAGAAATGCTGGACAGATCTATAGGACACACACATAATGCAAGTATATATTACTAAAAATGTTAAGCACGTATCTGTGTCTGCTGGTCTGGGAGGAGAAGCAAGAAGTCAACTGAGGCTCATGTTGATCCCTACATGCAGGCTCAGAACCAGCTGGAAAGGATTTATATGAACTGGACATTGGTCTTTAGCCATACCATATAGTGAAGTGTCCAAATACGAAATTTCGAGTTCCATAGGCAATTTAATTTTAATTTTAGAAGCATATGATTCCTGTTCTAGGCTTCCAGAATGGAGTGGTATCATTTGCTTTGTCTGAGGTCTCTTTTTTGTTAAGTCTAATGAAGTCTGGAACTGAATTAGTGTTCCCTTTCCTTTCTGAATTGGCATTATTTTAACTTGAAGAATACCTTTGAATAGTACCCAATCATGTTTACATGTAAGTTACTGCCTGTTAAGTCTACTAAATCATAATTTTAGACTAGATACATGGGAAGTAGTCTACATCTTTTTTATATAAAATCAAACACATTGCAGCACAAATAAGTCATAAATTCAGTTCTTTGTTTTCTTTAAAGATCAAATAGAGAAAAATTCTCAAGTAACCAGCTATTTTATTTTTTTCCTCTCAACAATACCCAATATCATTCCAGCTTCTTGATGTTTTCTTAACTTCCTTCCTATAGTCAGTGGAATTATTAAGAAACTAAATAAAAACACTAACTTTAAATTATTATACTTTTTTTACTTACTGCAACAAACCTTTAAGTGCTTTTGATGCAGTACTGCTCCTTGATTATTTGAATTTGAAATTTGGTCATGTCAAAAATTATCACAAAGATTTATTTTTATCTACATATTTTAAACCAATGTTACATTGTAACACACAAACAAGATCTTGTCGTTTAAGGCACAACACATCATTATGCACATTCTATTTGCCAAACTTATAAAAGAGAGAATAATTATTATATACCCCCCATCCCATACACCTCCAAAACAAAAGAAATAAATTGCATCCATTTCCAAAGTCAGCTGCTAATAAAGTCACAGTAAATTATTTTCATCAATAATTTACACATATTACATATCTAGACAGGATTGTCATCATACAGTCTGAGTGCATTCCAATTCAGATTTTCTGGGTTAGGTAGGTAGACGAAAGTTTGATTCAAACCTCAGTGCTGAGAATATATCCCATAGTGAGGAATGCTGTTGAATACCACCCTTGTTGATCAGAAAATGCATGTTACTGCTTTCCCAGTCTGAGTCCATTGCAAAAAAATGTTGACTCTGGCTGGGTTCATTTGGTGCGTACCAGCAACCTCCTTTTATAGTTCTTGAATCATCAAAAATGTTGTGTATGTAAGACCATATAGAGAATCCTTGTGTAGAATTAAGCGTTGTAACTCCATTCAGTGATCTGAATTCTTCACAATAGAATTTTCATTCTGAATATTGCTTTTCTTTCTTAAGACCATACATAAGTATAAAGCCAGAGGCATTGTATCACACATGAAAAAAATTCAGTGTACTTCAAAATGTAGAAAGAATTTGTCAGCTATGGTACAACAGTTACAAATACTCCAATTCCAGCGCTTGGTGTAGAGCCAAGAGGTCCGAGTGACTAGATATCCTCCAGAAAGGCATGTTGTGCTGTGTTAGTTAAGGGGGAAAGGTAAGAAAAAATGAGCAATATCTTTTGCACATCACCTACATTTGCTTTCATATGCTTTTGAGTATTTTGGAATTACTCTGAGTTTTCTTAGTAAGACAAAGACAAAAACATACAAACCCAAGGGCATATAGATCTGAACTTGAATTTTACAGTAAGGAGTTTTGGAAAAGACCATTTTATTTTTACTGAGGCTGGGTAAGGAATAATTCTGTTGTTTCATTTATGAAATAATTATTAATGATCATCTAATGTGTGCATTTTTGGAGGAAATAATATAATTGTCTGCTCATCTGCAGAACAGCTATGGTGTATAAAGCATCCTCTTTTCATCAATTCATTCATTTCTATACCACCTAGAAAGCCAAAGTTCCCTTGATGGTTCACAGTACGTCCTTTTGAATCTTCCTGTAGGAAGCTTTACTCCTTGAAAGGAGATGCAGAAAGTGAACCAGAAGAATGGCAACCAGTTCTTTCCCCAACTGGGGAAATTTAAAAAAATCCTGTGTGCCTATTGTTATGTGACCCATTTTCAGTAGCCAATTATGGAATTGTTTCCAGTGAACTAGTATTTTACTAAATAACAAATATCTACTTTTATGTGCTCAACAGCTTTTAGTATGATTGTGAAGTATCAGTTTCTACTAAGCTGTGAAGCAAAATCTTATAAAAATTATGTTAGAAATTTTTAAAATACAAATTAATGTTGTGCACAGGTGGATTGCACTTTAGGAACCTTACTTTAACTCAGTTCAGATTTATTTGTGAAGAATTAACATTCATTTATTCTTCCACAATTGTTCATGCAAGCAATGGGTAGTTAGAGGAAAGCATGCCAACCTTAAAAGTAAAGAAACCAACCACCTGGTTTTTCGAACAGGCTAAAAGACAATCCCAGCAATTTTACTGTATCTAAACAGGCAACCATTTGGAACCAGCATTTAATTGCCAATAAAAATGCAATGGAGCAAATCCAGAAGATCTACTGGATATTTTAGAAATGACATGTTCTTTAGTTTTCCTATCTAGGATTAACATTTCTTAATATTATGTCATGAAGCATACCCCCTTGCCACATTTCTACAGATTAGTCTTAAATGCTGAATGTGTTGAAATCTAGAATGTTGGAAAAAATCCAGCTTGGTTTGAAGATGCTAATTAAAGAGTGGTGAAATGTTTGTGTTATAATCACAAATATGTAGTATGTAATCAAGTATGTAGCAGTAAGTTCTTGGCACTGCATTCTGTGTATCAATTGTTATCTGGATAATCACTAATTTGGGAAATAACCTCAACTGATTACTTGTGGTAGAAGCTAGAGAGGGGAGTGCACTATTGGTTCTCTAGGACCTCTTGGTGGTATTCTACACCACTGATCATGATGCTTGGCTGATGTCATGTGGAAATCCTGAACCAGTGTCTTGCTACAGTGGGTAATAATTTGCAGTAGGCAAATAGCTGAGCAGGGACTAGAATTACCCTGAGAGCTCCATGGCTGAGCAGGGACTAGAACCTGGAGCTCTCAGATTCCCATTCCAATACCCTGACCACTATGCTACACTCTTCCATATTTTGTAAACAATATAACACCAGTTTTGAAACAGCTGAGGTGATTTCCATTTTATTCCCAAGCTCAAGTTATTGCTCTTACCGATAAAGCCCTAAATAGTTTAGGGCAGGGTATCTGAAAGATTTCATCTCTCAACATGAGCCTGTCCAAAATGTGCGTTTTTCATCTGAGGCCTACCTCTAAGGCATGTCCAATTCCTACAGTCACTTGTGGGAAACTTGCTTTGCTGCAACTAAACTAAACAGAGTCTTTTGTATATTAGTGTCCCAGCTGTGGAATGCCCTTTCCAGGAAGACTAGCCTAGCCTTTGGATAGCAGGTGAATACAATGATGTTCTTCTGTGCTTTTAATAGTTAAGCCTGTCCTTTCTTATTATCCTTTTTATTTTAAAACATATTTTAGGGTATGGTATTTTATGTATTTCATTCTTGGTTACTTTATAATTCAGCAGTTATTTACCAGAGAGATAATCCCAGTTTATTATAAATAATAATGTCAAATGCAAACTTTGATGGCACAGAACTATCCCAAATGCAACATTCCCTTTGGATATGGAAATGTCTCTTTGCTTATGGATATCTGTGACTATAAAACAATCTTTGTTCAATACAATGGAGGGAACAGCTCTAAGCAAATGGGATTATAGGTGAAGCAACCCCTCTGTGTGATATCAATTAATCAAATTTTTCAAAAATACTTTACAGCTTTTACTTTGTAATGGCTGATTTCTAGCATGTTTCCCATTACTTTTCCAAATTTGCCAAATAAACTTTTGCATGCATTTCTTCATATCATTCATAAAACTTATTCTACTGTGTCTTACAAATCTTTTCGGCAGGTTTAATTTACTTGAATTCAGTGAGTTACTCACTTGATCTATCTTCATAACATGCAAGTCATCATAAAGCATATGCTTGATCCAAATGGTTTGATTATAGGCCTTAAGACTGGCTTTTGGCATCTAAAAACTTGAATTATTTGCCAAATATGCCACACCAACAGAAATGCAAACAGAGTAAGCCTGCATCAATAACTACGTATCACACCAACATTTTGGGAGACAGGTTACCTTTTTTGCTGCCTGTTCTTCTTCTACACCATCCCCAATTACAACATATACTACTTTTCTGCCAAACCTTTGCATTATTCGTTCAAAGCAACTTTCTTTTCCTGGAAGATAAATAAGATACAGTTCAGAGAGAAGTTACCTGGTTAGCTGCATGTTCCTCATCTCGGCCATCTCCAATCACAACATAAGTTATGTTAGTGCCAAACCTGGACACTATACGCTCAAAACAGCTTTCTTTGCCTGAAAAACAATGCACTACTTGAGCTATCAAAGAGAGGTTTCAGAAAGATCTATAAAAGGCTAGCAGAGTAGTGCTAAAGGTAAGGAGTCTCGAAACACAACATTATCACACCACTTGGCTTTGGTTACTCTTCAGTTAAAAACAACAACAAACTTCTCTGTAACCAAACATATGTATCTGATGATGTAACAATATAGACATTTCCCAAATAGCACAAAACTGAGTAAATTATAGCATGACACTGTAAAACAGCTTTCATTTGTCTGTGGAGATAACACTATCTTATTTTATACAGTTATGTGTCTTTTATATTGCTATTTATGTATTTTATTTATTTGTAAGCCACCCCGAGGCTTTGGCGAATGGGGCAGCCTAGAAATTCTCTAAATAAATAAATAACACTATCTGGTTTGTCGTGGCAGTCTATGGGTAGAGAGACTCCTGCAGAATAATGGTGAAACAAGATGCTAAGGTAGCAGTGTTGAATGCAGCACTGGGAAAGCCTTCTTTACTGAGCCATTTGGGCTGAAGTCTGAGTGGACTATACCTATGCAATCCTCTCTCTCTCTCTCTCTCTCTCTCTCTCTCTCTCTCTATGTTCTTCTCAGGTCTGACTTCTTCTGTTTATTCTTACTGTTAGCGCTACCATTTTGGTGTGCGGCTTGGAAGTAAGGAGTCCTCCTGGAACCTGACTACTCATAGAAAGACAGGAAAATACCTGGTGATTGAGGATCAAAGCCCTCCCTTCTCCAAACTCAGTGATGGACATTGCCTATCCAAATCCTGAAGAGGGGGATATCCTAAGGGTTGAACCAAATTTCTACATTTCAAGGTTGTCAGTTTCTAAATAAGGATTTTGCAGAAGTAAAACATATCCAGGATGATAATACAGTAGTCATTACAGTGATATGAAAATTACGTGCATTTAGTTTTGCTCCTCTGACTCTTCATGCATAGCTTTGGCACAATTCTCTTGCTTAGCCCCAACCAAAAATCTCATATTACTGGGAATGGAGATTGGAACTCATTCACAAAACAATGTAAGCTTAAGGGAGACAAGTTTTCTTACCTATTTTAGTTGCACTGTAAATATTTTCAATAGGAAAAGCACCTCCTAAACTATACAGCAAAACTTTTGCAAGGGCTGGTATAAGTTGGGTTGTTGTTACCAAGACATTTACACAGTTACTCCTGTAGGGAAATAGAGCATAAATCTATGTAATTATATCATATATTTGTCTGTAAAAAGGTTATGCATCTGACATCAAAATTCTGTTATTCTCTTATCAGATTCAGCAAAAAGATTGCAACTGAATTTTATACAATGTTTTAAACAACTGACAACTGAATGCTACTTAACGACCAGAAATTAAGAGGTCCTTTTGTGCCAAATGTACAAAAGCATCTTAGCATTTTCTTTCAGGATGTTTCTACCAACAACTCACCCCACTGCTGAACTACAAAAATTATGTGTTTTACAACCTGCTGGAGTTTAAGTCTTGAACATGTACGATAAGCAATTTAATGAACTCTAGGAATGTGATTTTTTGTTCATATATCATTTGGATTTTGTTCTCAGGCAAGAATGGTGCTAAAAGCTCAAACACTGGCCAACAGTTCAGTGATAGAGGAAAAAGTTAGCAGAACTTTATGTAAGGCCTTTGAAACTGCAAGCAAGCTAGATTAAAAGTCATGATTCTCATTTAATTGTTTTAGATTCCTTTTATACAACTTGGAGGCACTGCAGTGTCAATTTGTGTCTCACTTTCCACTGGCCATCTGACATATGTATATTACTTATATCTCCTTTAACATTCACTGCTGCATCTTTGACTAATTTGCAAAGCCCATGCAACCTTTTGACAGGTCCAGGGTTTGGGTAATATACGTGTGAAACAGCATTTCTTAAAGAATGGGTTGTGATCCAAAACTGGGTTATAGAGCTGTTCCAGGTGGGCTTTAGCAGCTGCTCATTTCCCCCACTTATGTTTCCACTCGTGTTTCTTCTCTTATAGTCTGTCTGGCTTAAATTTTTAGTTGGCTCTGCTCTTCTCTAACCGTTTTTCCTATGATTAATAGGCAAAGCAAGCTGGTTTTGTTCAAGCCAGTTCATTGCATGCTGGAAGCTGGAGTTCTCTATCCTTCTCTCTGATGTCTGAACAGCAAATCCCAGCAGGAACAGAGAGGAAAGAGAGTGTTAAAGAAAGACAATTTTTTTACATGGGAAAAAACGATCAGCATTTTCATGCTTTTAACTTGCAGAAGCAGGGGAAATGTCAGTGTCCAATCCCAATCTTGCAGCTCCCTGACTTCCCTGGAAGTTTTGCAGGCAGTGACAGGTCCAGTGGTAGGGAAATGTATGTGCAGAGAGGTTATGGATGGAAAGCATGCATGCATGCATGCGGTAGTGAAGAATATGAGCGTGAATGAGAAAAAGGAAAGCAAGTTGATATCGTTAGGATAATGGAAAGAAGTGAAAGTTTTTACCTTGAAACTATTAAATAAATACATAAACTGAGGGCATACTCCTTTTAAGTGGAGAAATAATAAATTGTATGTGGGATCTGATTTTCACGAAATGAAGACTTTACAAAAATTGATCACAAGTCGGAATTTAACAAGGCCTATTCCTGCTTAAAACTGAATTTTACAAATTAAATGTAACATGTATAGCTTTTGTATATGTAAAAAATAAACATACAGAATGGTTCAGTTAGGCTGCAAAGATATGTACACTTACCTGGGTGTATGTCCCATTGAATTCAGTGGAGTTTACTTGTAGTTTTCACTGATCCCGTAGTAGGATACACTACAGTATGTGTATCCTACCTATGTATGTTGAATTTAATTGATTTGGAGTGGGTAATGATGATTGACTTGAATGGAAGTAATTATAACTGAAGGGAAACTAATTTTGGAGTCATCTGGGAAAAAAATAATTGAATAAGAAAATGGAAATGGATGAACTGGGATGGAGTGCAAATTAATTGGGGGTGATTTAGATGGGAATTAAGTGCAATTATTTTGTAGTGTTATGATTTGCTCATGGACAAATTGCCCTCTCATTAGTAATTGTAATATCCAATTAGTATAGTTTGTGATTGGTTCTGCCTACAGCTGCTACACCTGTGATTGGTGGGTCTCAATGATTTTCAACCCTCTGAAGGGGCTATATTGGTAGATTTAAGATCTTCTGGTTTACAAGAAACAGCATGTGTGGATGTGCCAACAGCCTAGAAAAGCCTTACTTAGCATTGCTTCAATTGTCTAAGAATTAGTTCTAAACAAATCATCATCATTTCACCTGATTTTCAGATAAACTAAGGAATTATTCAAATATTTATTTCACTCAGTGACTGTAACACCATCCTTATCATCATCACTACGTTTATATCCTGCCCCTTTTTCTTGTAAAATCCCCAAGATCCCTTCCTCTCCATTTTATTCAACCCTGTAAAGTAGAGCAGACAGAGAGTGAATGACTGGCCCAAAGTCACCCAGTGAGCCTCACAGTCAAGTAGGGACTAGAACTTGGATCCTGAGTTCCAGTCCAACACTCTAACCATTGCATCACACTGGCTAATATTAAATGATGACTTGCTGTGTAATACTGATTCTACAGCTTGAATGTCTGACCTTCATGCTATATGGACAGCTTAACAGTCTCAAACACATTTCCTGAAGCTGAAGGTTATTCTGAATAATTATAGGAAAGCTTGAAAAAGGGAAGGGACAGAGCTCAGTGGCAGGGAACAGACAAACGGTCCTAGGTTCATTGCCTAGCATCTCCAGGTTGAGCTGCAAAAATGTCCATTACACAGCCAGGACAGGTCAGTGAAGACAATGGTCAGACAGATAGGCCAATGACTGTGACCTGGTATAAGGCAACTTTTTATATGCCTAACTAGTCTGCTAAAATTAAACACTCACCTTGTACTTATAATTGACAATGATTTAAGTGCATTTGTCAGCCAGGAGTCAGTGAGAGCTTCAATCTCTGCTCTTAATTGTAGCCATGCATCTCTTTTTGCAGGGCCAAGGAGTCCTGATACATAGAGTAAAACAAACATTTAAGACCGCATTCTATTTTAACAGGAATTGTCAAAATCCAATGAAATTATATTGGGCTTTGATCCTAGATAAACTGAGCTTGTTATGTTATGTTAGTCGTGAAGTCGTGTCCAACCCATCACGACCCCATGGACAACATTCTTCCAGGCCTTCCTGTCCACGATCCTAAGGTCACGCTGACTGCTTCAGTGACTCCATCCAGCCACATCATTCTCTGCTGTTCCTTTCTTCTTTTGCCGTCAATTGTTCCCAGCATTAGGGTCTTCTCCAGTGAGAAACTGAGCTTATAATAGGCTATAAAATGCCAACAAATCCATTAAGGTTCTGAGATATTTTAAAAGGTAGGTGGAAATCTCTGGTGTAGAAGATGGCTCTTAACTTTTGACAGCAGCTAAAATGTCTATTGCATCATAGTGAAAAACTGTAATGTTTTTGTCTGATTATTTTTTGTAAAATGGGATGTCTATTATGATATAAATGACATACTATATAAAAGCAAGAGAGAATCATATGTTTGATAACAGATTTATTGGTAAATGTTGGTGGCTCAAGAATAGACTCTCTAGCTACTGGCAAGGATGGCTGGGAGCCATTCTCCACATAAGTCCCCTTGACAAGTAGGAATGGATGTCTTTGCTGGCTTTGGGCAGCAAAGATGGGCCACCTGCTTGGTGATTAACTTGGTAGCTTGTACCATGCTCAAGAGCCACTGCTAAGCAGACTGGGCAACTCTTGATCCATGATGCCTTTCTGTGTTTCCATATTGCAAACAGGGCTCTTCCCTACAGTGCAAAGGGGAGAAATCTCTGTCGGGGCAAAGTGCAGGAGCTTGCTTCCTGCAAGAAGGCAGCAGGAAGTCCCCAACAAGTTACCTCAGATCAGTATGGAAACTGATCCCCCTGTGCTATAGGGCACACACCGTGTTTGTGCAATGGGGAGTCTCTGACAGCTACAGCAAACTGAAATCAGGCTGCAATCATGGCTTTCAGGCAGAAACTTGTTCCTCCTTATGGAGTCTCCTGGGATACTGCCTGGAGGAATGAGGAGAAGGGAAGGAGCAAAGAATCTGCAATGAGTCCAGCCCTCTGTCAGGTGCATTGTGGCTACTGCATGAAACAACTGCCAGAGTGGGCAGCCATATCACAAAATCTTGGACACTGACTTCCATTTTTGAACTGTACCTAAAGTTATTTAAAACCTGGCATGTGCCCTTATTTAAATAAACAAAGAACTCTCCAGTCTATAGAAGCAGAGATCTAATGGTCCATCAAAATAGGAAAATGTGAGATTCCCCCTGCCCCTGGTATGAGCTTCTCTTAATATTTTGAAACAGAGACATTGAAAATGTGGGGAACACTGAGAAAAACCACGATGAAATATTTACTCCACTGGAATGAGCAAAGTACTTTTTAAGATGTTTTACTCACTCAAATGTGTAGTATTTTAAAATTATTCTATGGATTTTATTGTTCTATGCAATCCTGGAATGGCTCTTGCCAAATGACCTTATATATTTTAAATTTATGAATAAATTATGAGGAATTTAGTGTAAAGTACAGTATTAGAGCATGCAAATTCTGGTGTATGCACAGTTTAGTATTTGCAATGCTGTAATGTTTTACTTGATATCCAAATATGTTACTAGTCCTTAATATTGTGTCTGAATTAGACTATTTCTTAATAAATAATGCACCCTTCATTTCCAACACAATTTGTGGTTTCCATTTTCAACTTTTATTTTTCCTGTTGACTTCTCAGCTAGCAATATCTAATATAGATGAGCTGAGGTAGCATAAGGCTTAGCTATTTGTAGTGTTCTATCTTTGTCTCACTGTAGATTGCACCTGAGAAATTAAGTATTTGAATGCTATCCCAACCCAAATAAGAATCTCCTTCCATGTACACAGAAAACTAGGGCATCGGGCAGAAAACTGAGAAGACAAGTAACAGTGTTATCTGTTACATACTGAAAACTATATCCTTTCACGAGTGAGCAAATATGTAGGTGGGTTTTTTTTAACATGGGACAATAAGTATGAGTGCCAAAGCTGTACAGTGCAAGCAAGGCTGCAGAGCCTGAGAGTTCAAAATGTGCAATTCTATTCTAAATATTAGTAATAAACCTCTTCATGAAATCTGAGAGATTTCTTCATCTTTCTTTATTTATGCAGTTTTACTGAATAAATACCAAAGCAGCAAATAGTTCAGATTTCATTTAAACAATGTTGTGAATGGGAGACTACTATGTTCTTCCGAAGAATTTCAAGTAAAGATGGTACTGACTTTTTAAAAATAATAAAACTCTTACCTCCTACATTATTCTTGTATGTATTATATAATTCTTTTACTCTTCTGTAACGGAATGCTAGTTTTCTCATCCAGTCAACTCCTCCTCTTACACCTGTTGGCAGACAAAGGTTTGCACTACTTGCAGCTGCATGGAAGCCATCAGTTGCAAAACTGTAGGTACTGCAAACACCCAAAATAGGCAAAAATGAATACTTCTTGTCCTTAAATAATATATATTTATTTAATTGTTACAATTCTTTTTTAAAACATGGCTTACCTTAGGTCTTGCCCATTGTCATCTGAAGAAACATCATCTATATGTACTTGATCACATTCCTGTTGAAAAAGATTTTTTAAAATATATATTTTTCCTAATACTTATATGATGTTGTAATGCTTCATCACACTGAAGATTTAAATGAAGAGTAGCATTTGTAAATGTAAAATATAGCAAAATATGTGCTTTTAAGATTTCATAAGCAGGACCATTCTTTTAACAGAATCAACCATCCTCAACAGCTTTTTCCACACCTGGGCATTCCTGAATTTATTGCGTACTTGGAAAGCTAGTTTTCTATAGTAGCCAATAATTTTTTCCTTCTGACCATCCTTCCCTCTTAAAATTCATATAGTGAAAACACTACAACTTTGTCTCTCAAACCAAGATTTAGTGTTCTTTAACCAGTAACTTTAATATACAGTACTTACAACACCTACTTGCACTGCAAAAAACAAAACCAAAAATGTTTGGTCCACACTGTATCATAGGAGAAAAGTGCACATCAATGTATGTTTTATATTTATGATATAGTTAATGCATATTAAAACTTTTTTCAAGCTGCTTCTGTACCCTGAGCTTTTTTCTTAAAAATAGGCAGCCTCTTCAGAAATAAAGCTGCATAAAAAATTTTAAAAATTCCAATAAAACCTCAAAATGTAGAGTCACGTCAATCATCTAACTCAGGCTAGATTTATGCCTGCTTACACAGGAACTGGCCAGGGTAATCTCAGGAATGATGTTGGAGTCCCAGTCTGGTTACACTGGCATACTTCACCACCTATTCCAAAGCTTCCAAAGCATCTGTTCCAAAGCTTAAGACCATCTCTGGATTTAGGGCTTCCATAGCAACCATAAGCTTGTCCCAGGTAATTTTTTTGGCCCATGACCCAAGTGGTTGACACAATTGCTGCTCAATGTCCTCTCTCTGTATGTAGAGCTAAATTAACTTCAGGTTGCTTTAAAGAGCTGATGGTAATGAAAACACAGAAAGGATGACCAGAGTGATAGTGATAGATTACTCAGCACATTTTATATGCTAGCCCACAAGATGGGTAATGACTCAGCAGCCAGCTGTAACAAATTTGCTAGACACTCCGTATATTAAGTCACACATTATCAGTTCTGTCTTTGATGCTGCAGTTGAAGGAGTACCAGCAGATGTACCTTTAGAAGCAACTCGTCCAATTATATTGGCTACGTCTCAATTTGCACAGTCCAAAAAATGTGGGTATGATTTGTGGAAGGCCATGGACTGTCAGAACAACCAGAAGTGTGCTAGCTGAATGCATGGTGGAATGCTGAAATCCTCAGAGAGTGAAAGTGTAGTTTAAAGAAATTAGTGAGATACTTATTGAAAAGGGAGGCCTTTACTGAGGAGAGGAGAGGAGTCCCTTCACCTTAACCATATTGAAGAATTTCTAACCAGTCTATTTTCATTTAGTTGCGTGATGGCCCCTCAGTTCCAAGTCTTCCTGGCTAAGACCAATTATTCAGATTTACCTCAGTCTAACTTTAGACCCTGGTTTGAGAATGAAACAACCTTGGTAATCTTGATGAATAACTTATACAAGGAACTGGACAGGAAGAATGGGTTCTATTGTTTCTGCTGGATCTTTTTGCAAATTTCAGTAGTACAGATGATGGCAAATATTATTGATGATGGTATTGTTCTGAGCCTACTTACTGGGATGAAACGTGGGGAATTGGTGCTACAGTGGCTCTGTTCCTCCCTGGAGGCTGTTTTCAGAAAGTGGTGGAGGGGGACGTAAATTTGACACTTTGGTTTAGATGTCGAGGTGTCAGCTATGGTCAAGAGTTCATTTCTCCAGAGAAGATAGCTGTGTCAACTTGTACCTGTTTCTAAAGAATGCAGATCTGGCCTTGACATAAGCCTTAGCCTTATCACATCTGCATCATTAAAATGTACTCTACATAGAACTGTATTTAAGGAATACTCTGAAATTACAGCTCATCCAGAATGGCAGCCAGGCTGCCATATTGGTTTGTATATACCAAGTATGTAATTACCCAGTTGAAACAGCTACCTGGCTTCTGATTTATTCCAAGATAATTCAAAACTTACCTTTAAAAGAATATGGTTTAAGACTGGGATAGGCTATCTGAAGAAAAGCCTTTCCCTTCTTGCTTACTGACTCAGTCTTTGGAATATGATCTAGATCTCAACATTCCCAGAAATACATTCAATCGGGATCGGGGAAAAGACCTGCATCAAGGCTTTGCAGCTCTTGTCTCCTTTAAAAGGCTTTTTCTATGTTGATAAAAATATATCATTTTAGGAAGGCATATGAGTTGTAAATGGCTGCTTTTATTGAAATGATTTTATTTGCTTCTGGCATTTTAATTCATGTTATTGGTATTACTTTCTGTTCTTGCAGTGTTACATGCTGATATGTTAAATTGTTGCTAGTCAGTTCAGCTCTTTAAATAATATAAATGGTTTAAATAACTAAACATGTCCCAAATGGCTCAAATGAGTATTCAGACTACTGTTAACATATGAATAAAATGATATTTCAGAAAATGAACAGTTAAAATTGGCTAGGACCATTAGCTAATTAGTAGCAAAAACTGGTAATAGAATGTTACAACGTATCTATATCAATTAACACTACTTTGTGTTATTTTCAAAAAGTAGCACTTCTAACTGGGTTTTGTTTTGTATGTTCATTTCCTAACCAGCTTGGTTGTTACGAAATATTCCTTTTACATTGTGGGCAATACCATTTTTATTCAGTATTTCAGGGGAAATGGCACTCAAACGACTGTAACTGAAATTACAGCACATTGTTCAACAGAACTTTTGAACTAGCAACATGGCCACCTGAATGTTTTGAAACATGCAAATTAGAAAGAATGCAATGGAAGGATACCTATCCACTGTGCTCTAATGTCTGGGCATACTGGTATCCCCCCCCCCGCCCCCACCTCCACCTGCACTTCCTAGTTGCAAGGCATTCTCCATGAACAGACGCCATGCATTTGCCAACTACAAGATGCCTATCAAACTGGCACTGATGAAATAAATACTAAAACACAATCATAAAAAATTATCCACTGTGGAACAGGCAGGAAAGTCCCAGCTTCAATTTCCACACTTCCAACATGTTTTGCATTTCCTTCCTTTTTCTTGGCCCCTGCTTCCTACAGTCCTCTCTCAGCCCCTGGTTTCTTATAAAACTGGATCTGGGTCTCTCCCTCTTCCTTTTTTCCTCTCTTTACTTCAGCTGTACACAGCTACAGTCTGCTCCTAAGATTACATTGAACGCTATATGAAAATTGAAAAACTTTTCAATTTTAGAAAAGTGCTTAGAAAAGGAAAATACTAAAATTATCATTTTTGCCAGGCATGTTTGTCTTCCTTTGGAAAAAATCCTACTTTCTCAAGTTCTTCATTATCACTTTATAGCAGTCATGCTCCTTTTGCTTAGAACTGTGTACTTTTAGTTATTCCTGGTACTTTCACTAAGACTAATACTGATGGTGTTCCATGCTGGGTCATCTTCTCTCACAGTTCCCATTCCTCAACTCTTTTCCTATCTTTCCTTCAACTACATAGCAGTGGGATAACACAGTTTCTGTTTCTAATGGAATTATGCAAATTGCCATGAGAAGAGGGAGTAGAATTGGCATGTTGTGTGGTGATGTCACAAAGGCATCAACAGCTTTGAGGCAGCTTCCACATTCGCTTTCTTGTCTTTTGCTACCAAAAAGCTTTCAAAGACCTTTTGTCTTTGGAAACTTCTTTTCCATACAAAAGGTTACAGATCCCTCAAATGTAGCCCATTATCATGTTTTGTTTCCCCATGGTTTCTCTCGCATCAACACCAGTGGTGCAAATTCAGGAGATGTCATATAGACAGACTTGCATACACATTGGGTGGGTTCACACGTTACCACAATCCATGGTGGAAACTGTGAAGGGTTGGCTTGCCATTATGTTAGAACCCAGTATCCATTGTGAAGTGTGGTATGTTTGGTTTCCATGAAACCTTCTGGAGAAACAAGTTGTAAGATTTCTGCAATTCACCATGGCGTCTTCTGCAGCCAGTTGCAATGTTTTTGCACAAATTCAATGTTTCTGCCATAGAGTTAGGCAGCGAGAGTTACTGCAGATGCAGCAGATGCTCCAGCCTACATTTTTCACTATCGTCTTCTGCCTAACAGCTGCTGTGTTGGAAGCTACCATTCTCTGGCTATTCCACACTGCTTTTTATCTCTCTGCGTATGCTGCCTTTCTGATGCCCAACTGCAGCCCTGGAATTCTGGTGGCAGTGTGAAACTGCACTGTACCAGCAGCAGTAGCTATGGAGACAGCCATGCTTGGTGCTCCAGTCTGGTTGCTAAGCTTAACTGGAGTGGTACTTTGAAATGGCAGGATTTTTGCGCCATTTGCTGAGCTAGTGGTCTCGTCATATGAAGGCTGCCTAATATATATGGAGCATGTTGGCTGTGTGCTAACACTGCCCTGAAAAGCTCATCTCTCTTGCTCTGTCTCCCACCCTCCCCTCTTGTCTTTGACATTCCTAAGGGCTCTCAACAAACCCTGCTGTCCACCTCCCACAGCTGTGGGATTAACTCTAACAGTCCCAACAGTCTGGATACATGTGCAGTGGGGGAGGGGGGAGGTGCGCGTGTGTGTGTACTGCCATACCGGCAGAGCACAGAAGCGTTACTCTAGAGGAATAGTGCTACTCTAGTGAGTAGGCAGTTGCTTCTTCGAAGCAGTAAAAAACAGAAACCTAAAACAAAAAAAGGCAGTCAGCTGTAGCCATGAGGAAGAGGCATGTGATGTAGGCAGAAGTGGTGTACCCTGGAACTGATTCTCAGCTGTGAAGGCTGATGGGGTATTGCTCACCATTTGGAAAAAAGATTGAGAAGCAAAGGAACCATGCATGCATGAAAACCAAACATGTGTATGAATCCAGGACGTAAGGTAAGATACCATGCTGTGCATTTACCATGCGGTTTAGCATTATGTATGAGTTCATCCATTATAAAATAATGTTAGATGCTGATGTTACATAACTTATAGTATGAATACAAAGTGGAACATTTACTGTTAAAATCCCAGTGATAAATCCTAGTGATAATTTAATAAGCAAACTATTTGAGAAAATGACAATGAATGAGTCTTCTGTTTTTTTCCTCTATTTATTTTTCTTCATTTTGAAAATGTTCATTATTAATATGTAATATGGAACAAAAGTACCAAGGATACTTTTTTGCATTTGAAAGTTAGTGCTATATGTAGAAAAAGCAGCTTACCTATTTCCTTCTCTTCTATTTAATATGTTATTTTATACTGGCTTTTATATGATGATTTGTCTCTCTGGAGCAATTGTTTTGCATTGTTGTTATTGTTGCTGTTGTTATTATTATCATTTATTTTGATGTATGTGGTTATTATATTTTAAAAATTATGACTGTTAAGTATATGCTTTGGTTTTATGTTTTTGCTGTTCTAAGCAATGTACACTGTTTTGAGAGTGTTTATTAATGGTTTATAAAACCTTTAAATAAATAAATGAATAAAATTACTTGTCATTCTTTTTAGCTGTTCATAGCTGATCACAGAAATGCGAATATTGTATATTTTGTGCTCTTCGCATACACTTTCCTCATAATTTTTAAACACTTAATTATTACCATTTTAGAAAGATCTAAAGAACTTGAGGAAGTTCTTCATGTATGTGTGCACGCGTATGTGCGTGTGCACACACACACACACAATTGCTTGTACCAACCAACTTCTAGAAATATCCAAGTTTAATTCTAAAATCTTACAGTATTCAGACTTTGCACAATCTTGTTGAAGTTAACACTGAACATAGTTCACTTAGTATGTAATGTGTTTTTAAGACACAAGCCAAAATTAAATTTTCCCATTCCCAGTGGAAACTAACACTCTGCTAGCATAACATCAGGATATTGTTGTTTTATCATACTAGAGATGTGACAGAGGTGGTGGAATATGCTCTCTATTAATTTTGATTTTAAGGTAAAATACATTTCAAAACAGCTACAGAACTGGCCACACTCAAGTCACAGTGGGCCCACTGGCTGTGCAAGTTCAAAACTAAGAAAGATATATTTCCCATTACTGAAAGTTTACCAATTAATGTACAATAAGTGATTTGACGCAATATTAAATTATGTCTAAATGTATCTTACAAATATTTTTCACAACTTGATATTTTTACTAAGGAGTACAAACCCTACAGATGACCTACAAAAATGATCCTTCTGCAATTGTCAGTAATTTCATTATCCAATGAAAACAATGACTCACTGCAGTAAAAACAAAAATCCTATTATGCAGCAGATCTGAGAAGGCAGAGTCTTGAGGGTGAACAACTTCCATTCACCATTATCTGCTGGATAACAGTAAAATCAGTATAGACTGTCTACCAACAAATATGAGAACTTTGTTCATGGAATGCACCATAATTATTCACAAGTATAGTGAGACATATTTTTTTAAACATGAAACTCATCAATATAATTTCTAAATACACCTATAAAAGCATTTTCCTTATAATAATTTCCCCTAAACCTCAATGCAAACTGCTTTTTACCATGAACTTTTACTTTCCTTTAAATGGTCCTTATTTCATAAGATATTCTCAAAATAGTACTCTTCCAGCTGCTCTAAAGCATCACAGACATGTTTCTCCAACTGATTTATACAAGGTAGCTAAAATTTGCTGACATAATATTATAATCAACAACAACAAAATAAAGAGCAGGATAACACTGAGTAGAACTTTCATGAATCAGGAGATGAATATTTAGATCTCTGAATAATATTCTCTCATGATATGAAAACCTATATATTGATGCAATCAGTATATCCATTCAAATGCAGATAAGCAAATCATAACATTAAAACTGCCTGTAATGTGAACTGGCTTTTGAGAGTCTAGAGGGCAGGGGAAGAGTTAATTCTGGTTCTGACAAAATGTTAGAAAAAACAGCCTTGCTATCCAGCCTAGTTGGAATTTGGCATCCAATGTCTCTGCGAGACATCAACCTCTCTTTGTGCTATGTGGATAAGAAATATCAGAATTATGGCCTGAAGAACACCAGAGATAACAGGGATGACTGGCTAATGACCAACACCTGGAATAAATAGGTGCCCTCTGCCCCCCGGGACTGGGAGATGGACTATCACCCCACAGGTCTGCTGACCTATGCTTGCAAGCAACAGAGCAGCCTTTTGTTCTTCTTTTGGGAGGTTCCCTCTGCTGCGGATTCTCCCTGCTGAAGAGTATTGTGGCAACCTGTGTATCCTGTGTCTCTAGAAGGTAGAGTTACAGTGTATGGGCTAGGTTAGAAAAGTACTTTGTTATCTTCCTGTCCAAGTAGGCCAACAAAGCCCTGAGAGTTGGGGTTTCTTGGTTTCTACTGTCCAGTTCCCCCTTTTCCCTCCCTCCTGCCTCTTTCCTGGTTTTATCCTTTTAGATCTGTGTTTTAGTACCTCCACCCCTATATTTTAATCAATCTATCTATCTATCTATCTATCTATCTATCTATCTATCTATCTATTGCAACCAAGTTTGGGTTTGTCATGTGCTGAATCCAGTAACAGGTCCAGGGCTCTTGGGCCAGGGAGTATCTGGATGGGATTTTGCCTAGGTGGTTGCGGGGGTGGGGTGGGGGGGGGGGAGAGATCCCCGATGGATTTCTATTACACTGCCTTCAGTGCTTAACAAATGCCTACTTTTCACTTTCACAGCTTGCCAGCTTGTGTGCAGGAGTGTTGTCGTATATGACAGTTATACTGAAATGAAGACAACCCTTCCATTGAGCAGGAGATCCATCAGAAAGTAAGATTTCAACAGTCTTTCGTAAAGCTGTATAGGCTCTGGAAGGCTCCATAAATTATCTAGAGGCTAAATGAATCAGTGATTTAATGAAGAATTGAAAAAACAGCTTTCTTCAATAATGATTAAGTAAAAGGATTTTAGATGAGAGCAAAAAGAAAAACAAGGATTTAAACACAATCTATACAATAAGAAGCAAAAACAGCAATTAAAACAGTGTTCACCAGAAACTATTTTAAGACAGTTGTTTTATACTTTTTTGTATAAAACAAAAACAGGTTTTTTAAAAAAATTCTTAAAATAACACTTACTGGGTGAGGGCAATAATCCTTTTAAAATTGGATTACTTGGAAACACCTCAACTGAATTTATAAACAAAAGTCAGTTCAAAAAACCCTCCATTATTAGAGTATAAGTTTTTAACATAGCACTTTTCACTAATGTACAGCATGTACCTGTGGCAGGTGCTTGAAAAAAAAATCTTATGAGATATCATTGTCAGTCACATCCTTGCAAAGGAATATATGTCAGAAACATGTTTTTATAAGATTCTATTTCAATACTAATAAATGTCAGAAAAAACATTATATGCTGGAATGCACATAGCCCAATAGGTATTCTCTGGATACATACCTCCAAATCATTAAAAAATAGATGTGTATCAGCAAGATTAAAAATCATTTCTTCCATTCGAAGTCCAAGAGTCACTGCCACAGGGGGATCCTGGAGTTAAAAAAAAAGAAAAGAATGGATGCTCTCATGTGATAGACTGACTAAAATGAACGGAGCTATTTTTCTATGATGTTACATATATGCTAAGTCTTGTGGACTGAAAAGAGACTTGCATGCATGTAATTATGCATAACTGCTGTCACAAATCTGTTTTTAACTGCAACTAGATATTCATACAAATGAAAGGAATTATTTAAAATTATTAAAATCTTGGGATTTAGAGTTGGAAATAATTTCATGGCAATGAAATGTGAGTTTTAGAGGCAGCCACAGCAGTTTTCTTAAGATACAAGGACTATATAGTAACCACAAAATGTTTATTTTAATCTAAAAATGCTACAGACAATTAAGCAATGATTCATTTGAAGATTTATAGCTGAATTAAATATAGGACTCTCAAGTCTGAAAACATACCCAATATCTTGAATAAGACTGAAGACCATTATGTTATAAAGCTGTATATTCAAACATTGACAGAGTAATCCTACTCAAGAATTACATCTTTTGATCAGGAAGGTTTGCTGATCACCATAGCGCATTACCATGGAAAACATACTTCAGCATAGCACTAACAGCTGGAAATCCCTGTCTGCACATCAGGGGACAAATGAGCCAGGTTCATCAAAGGCATGGTTGGGAAGTGGGTGTGGACAAGCCTACGGTCAAACCAATGTTATTATAGCCCCTACATTGGTTTAAGACTGTATCTGCAAAAAATGGTGGACTACGTTAAAACAGTTTCACTTCAGTCAGTGGAAAGCCACGGAGAACTGTATTTCACCTCCTGAGCATCACCTTCCATAGTCACAATGGACAGAATTCCAATAAATTGGATACAATTAATATAACCCTAAATGGTTTGGGTCTTGGATACCTGAAGGAGTGCCTTCTTCCCTACGTGCCTGCCTCTGAGGCAGAAGTCCTTCTCCAGGAGCCCTCCCTGAAGGATATTAGGAGGGTAGTTACCCGGAGAAGGGCCTTTTCAGCGGTGGTGCCCCGACTCTGTAATTTGCTCCCCAGGGAGGTTTGCCTGGTGCCCTTGCATTATTCTGCATCAGGCAAAACCATTTTTATTTTCCCATTATTTTAATGCTTAATTGGTTTTATTTTACATTTTATTATTGAGGTTGGATGCACTGCCTTGTTTTGTTTTATATTTTCATTTTTCCCCTTCTTATAAGCCATCTGAGATGCCTGTAGTGGACAGCCTATAAAAGCTTTTAATAAATAAATAAATCCAATTAATTCTACAACTGATCATGGTAAACTAGCTGGACGATATAAAATCAGGTCACAAAATAAAGAGCACTTATTTCAAGAGATGTCACATGGTTCTGTACCACTGAGACCCTATTTCAAAAGTAGGGACTTGGTGATGGACACTGCATAAAGAGCAAAACCAGAATTAAATGAAAGACAGATGAATCACAGTCCTTTTTGGAACCCATATGGGTACTCTTTTCTCAGGAATTCATCCATTAATGCACAGTACGACTCTTAAGCCCAGTGGAGCTACTAAGACTACAGGTACAAAGTACCATGTTCAAGTTAACCAGGAGAAGGCATGGCTCAAAATAAATATTCCTGTATCAAGTACTTTAAAGAAAACAGATGCATATACAAAATATTGAAACATGAAAAATGTTAATATGTCTCTCATATCCCATCATTTGAGAGAGCTGTTGTTGGCCTCTTCCTTACTATACAGATGGTAGCCAAGTCTATTATTTTCCCTTGCAAGTGAAAAAGCAGCTGGGAGATTACTGATATGTGAAGTAATACGTGCTGCTTTTGCAGAATATAATAAAACATTGAGAGTACAAACATATAAGTCCTTGGACTAATTTAATGCAGAATATAAATGGAATAAATAAATATAAATAACATATTGGTCAAAATAATGATCAATGTATCTATATCAACCTAACAAGTACAGTAACATATCAGTAATGCAAACATTAACTGTTTAATGAACAGTTAAAATATAGCTCAACATAAAAACAGAAATAAAAATATTTTCTCACTTAAAGTATTATGAATATAAACATTTCCAGTTAATAAAGTCTAAGTACAATAAATCACCAGCACAGTAACAATATGATCAATCTTTATACAAATACAACATGTAAAACACAGAAAATCAAGATTGAGATTTTGCAAAACTTGGTGCAAATAGGGCAAGGATTGGCTGCTCTCTGTGAACAATTCTAGAATGATATAGAGCCTCTCTCCTTACTGAGAGTTGCTCAGCAAGCTAACATTCCTTGTTTTTGTGAGCAACTTGACCAAATACTAATACTCAAGTCGATGTCTTTCTCAGAAGAGTACTGATAGTTTTGAGTGTATATGCAGCTGAGTTAAGGCTGCAATCCTATTCCCACTTACCTAAAGGCAAACCCATTAAACTCAACTGTGTTTATTTCTCAGTAAACATGAACAGCTGTAAATAGCTATCTACTCTACAATACCCTTTTAATCCAAATGGCAGCTGCTTGTATCAAATGCTGTCTTTCTGTTAAAAAGAACAAATTCATGGAGCTGAAAGTTATCAACGGCTGGTAGCCCTGATTGCTATTGGCCACCTCTACTGTCAGAGGCAAGATGCTTATGTACACTGTTACTGGGGACCATGGGCAGAAGAGTGCTGCTGCACTCATGTCCTACTTGTGGGATCCCATGGGCAGTTGCTTGCCCACTGTGGGAACAGGATGCAGAATTAACTGGACCTTTGGTCAAATCCAGCCCAGTTCTTTTGATCTTAGCAGTGGAAGATAGGTAACATGTAGTTTGGCCAAAGGATTATTTTTCTTGCCAAAGAAGTACAGCTTTTATAGCCACACATATTGGGAGAAGAAAGTACAGCATAAATTTCTCAATAAACTTCACCATATTTTAAGAAATCATGATAGGATGCAACTTCGTTTAAACAGAAGCAGAAATCCTCTGTCAAGGATAAAGAAAAATAACTTATCCAGATAAAGAGGGAAGAGAGAGAGAGAGAGAGAGAGTTGGTTATCACAAGCTACATACAAAAGGAGAAGGAATACCACTGTGGCAGCAGCTAACAGAATCCAAGGGTATGTGTTAAATGTGAGTATTTAATACCCTCCATCTCTGCAAACACTTTAAACAGTTCCCCTGCCCCCTCTCAGGATGTAATACAGACTTTTTTAAAACTCTTAGTTCATTGGCTCTTGGGAACATGGCCTTTAGCCAGAGATTGCCAGCACTGCAAGGGAAGCTAGATCAACTATAACACTTCCCTATATCAAAATACAAATGCCTTTGGTTACGTTAGCAGTGGGCATAAATTGGAGCCAGACAGTCTGTCTGTCGAGTTCTGTGCAAGACTGGGCCATCTACTAGAATGCCTCTTAAGAGAGAACATAAAAATATCTAGGAGAACTAACACTTACATTTCTGAGCAGTCAGGCTGAGGAAAGGATTCTTAATTCAAGCGACTGCTCCTTTTCCATCCCAAATTTAAGTACTTGAAAATTAGTGGCATTAGGCAAAAGCTTTAAAAATTCTACTGCATCTAGAGAAAGATATATACTAGCAAAGTTTTTACTATCGTGCTTTTTGTATTGTATGAAACAAATTTACAGTGTAAGTTATGGACAATATTAAAGTGCGTGTGCGCACACACACTTAATTGCTTTCTGTAAAAAGCCTGGATATCAAATCTGACATTGCCTTAACAGCAGTTTTCAGTACACACTCTAGGTCAGTGATGGCGAACCTTTTAGAGACTGAGTGCCCAAACTGCAACCCAAACCCACTTATTTATCGCAAAGTGCCAACACTGCAATAAAACCTGAATACTGAGGTTTTAGTTTAGAAAAAACAACCCACACATTAACATCTTTTGTCTTAAAAGAAAAACACAGTAACAGAGCTTTCAACGATACAAACAGCTTTTTATTGAAAGGTAAAAGTTTGCATTTGGTGTGCTTTTGTCTGCTCTGAAAAAGGAATCTGAGTGTATTTCCTACCTGTGGGGACTTCTGCTAAAATCACAGTCACTCCAAGCAAATATATATATATCCTTGCTCTTGTTTTCATAAATTCTTCACAAACAACTAAATATGATGCTGCAGATTCAAATATGCCAGGGGGACAGCACAACATTAAAAGAATCTCTGTTTCTTAATTAGCATCTCTTTGCTAAATCTTAGATATTAAATATTATTTTTTCATAAGAAAACTCAAAGCTAAAATATTGTGTTAATAAAAATGAATGTATTAAAACTCACAGCCAATCCAAGCAATATATATATATATATATCCTTGGCAGCACACTTACCGACCATGTGAAAGCTCAGAAGAGTTGCAGCAAATGAGTCGCAGCTCATGATGTCATCGCCTGGTGCCGCTACTCCTCTCCGAGCATGTGCATAGTCCCTATGTGCGCTGTTATCTGATGCTGAGCTACTGGGGCGATGCTGGGACGACTTGGCTCGCGGGCCAACAGAGAGCACTCTGCATGCCTGCTGTGGCACACGTGCCATAGGTTCACCACCACTGCTCTAGGTAGACTCCATCTTACTAGCAGAATTTTATCTTGAAAAACTGGTACTTTGAAGTTGTTACTCTAGGTACTGGCCACTTGGGAAGTGTTTGGGATATGCATTTATTCCCTCTGTTGAAACTGGCCTGGAGCATTATAAACATTTAGAAAAGCTGCAAACTCATTGATTCTCTCACTATCAGAAGAATATGACACATTTGTAAAGCATCTGTTTGCATTGCCACTGAATTCTGTAGGGTTGTTCCCAAGTTTTAAGAAAACAATGTGTAAGTTTCAAGAGATTTTTTTTTAGTGAACAAAAATTAAACCATGAGTGAAGCAATTTGTAGGATTAGTGTTCTAAATTCATGTGTCACATACCTTCCCATATTTTTGAGCATAAGATCCTGTAAGAAGTGAATGGAAGACAATGATAGTTTCATCCAAATCCCAAACAAATACACGCTGAAAAGAGAGGATTGACAAAAATCAGTCCCGTATACCAACAGGAAAATCACAGGCAAGGTATATTTTAGCAAAAAAATGATCCTTTATACCCCAAAGACATGAGAAATCATGACAACTCCTAAGAACTGGGTTCATGTAGTTCCATTCTCATCCAAGAAATCCACCTCTGATCTGTTCATTAATCTCTAAAGACATTTACCTCTAAAGAAAAAAGTTACTTATATGATTTTGTATAGATAAGGGCTAAAATACAGATTGGTTATTTTAAGAAAAAACACTTCCTTGTTAATTCCACAGAAGTGTGGGGAAAGGTCTTTCCTCTTGATGGGCACCCACATGTATCAGTTATGAAACTGATTTTAAATGTAAATATCTTAAAGAATGCTTACCTCTAACTGTACTTCTTTGAGTGGTCTTCTATGCATTCACAAATATGAGCTCTGAGCCTGTGAAGAGCATCATGCAGGAAGCTTCTCTAGCTGAGGAATTTAGGTAGGAACCATTTACCTACTATCTCAGCATAAATATATCCAGTGGGTTCATGCCCAGACCTGGGGTTTCTCCAAGACAGCCAAAAGTGGCCTCAAAACTGAAGGAATACTGATAAAGAGTAAAAGAAAAACTGATTTTAATTCCAGCCCCTGAGTCTGAGATTGACATTGAAGTGGGGATAATGGATAGGTTGATTGGATAGGTGATAGGATAGATGATTACTTGAAGAACTACAGTTATAGGTAAGCAGCTTGTCCTTCTTCTTCATGATATGGGTGAGCAACAAGCTTGGTAACTTACTGGAGGTAGGTCAGTGTCATTATTATAATGTCAAGGAGAGGAGCATTTGGACAAAAGAGCTGTCAGCAGGAAAGGATACATGTAGCTTTAATGCTTGATGAAAGAGCATGACTTGGACCAGGTGGCAGTACAACAAAAATCTTCTAAGAATGCACCTCCCCCAAATGCAACAGAGGTGGAACCTTCATGTGGAAAGGGCATTTATCTGACATGAGTATTCTAGTATTGACAGATTGCAGACCAGCTTGATATCTGAACAATGCAAGGCTCTAATCACTGAGATGAAATAGGCAGTTCCTCGCTCTTGCTACTGTAACACAAAAATAGTCTAGGTGAGTTACACAAAGAATCTATCCTAGACGTACAGAATGCCAGGGCTCACCTGACATTAAGAGAATAAAGGGTCAACTCTACTAGTGAGGTGGCTGATGGAAAGAAGTAGGCACAATAAGCTCTTGGTTTAAATCAAAGTCAGAAACAGCCTTAGATAGAAAGCCATGTCTGGACAGATTACAATCTTATCCTTATGGAAGATAACACGGATTTGAAGGATATCTTGGGGAGAGACACAGTAATGGGAGATTTCAATCTCCCAGATATTTGTTGGGATACTCATTCAGCAGTGATGGCCAGGTCATGTCGCTACCTAGACGCTATAGAGGGAGGGCTTTTCACGCAGAGGGTCCAGGAGGCAACGAGGGGGAGAAATATTCTTGACTTGGTCTTGACCAACAGGGAGGACCTGATAGATGGGGTACAGATTAGGGGAGCTCTGGGTGTGAGTGATCACTCCATCCTTTGCTTTGAGATCAGGGCATTGGTGATGAGCAGCAGATTGAGTACTAGAAGTTGGGACTTCACAACAGCCAGCTTTGGTCAATTGAAGGCCAGACTGGGGAAACTCTCCTGCAGGTCAGACTAGATGGCCTGGGAGACCCCTTCTGACTCGCTCTGTTTCTCAGTAATAGTATGAGGTAAACAAACTTCCAGGACAGAAGTCCTAGAATTGTTGTTGTAAATAGTTTGATAGATTTCATTGTAAAGGTGTGAAGCACTACCAAAAGACTCCAAGACAGTAGCCGAGTGCAAACCAGGATGTATTTTCCATAATGTTCTCTGGAGGTTTTAAATGTCTAGATGTTGAAATAGTACTGTTAAAAGAAAGTAAGTTTGGTACCAGAGGGAGGAATGGAAGTCTCTTTCCACTAGAAGGAAGCAGGAAACAAAGCCTCTTGCAGCCACCAGGGCATTATTAGAATCTCATCCATCTCATCTCTGGCCAGTTTTGCTAGGATGCACATTTGCAACAGAAAGGGCAGGGATAATTCAAACAAGGTCTTCATCCAGTGAAGAATACACGCATTTCCAGCTTGTGCCCAACTGCAAAGCCCCATATGTCCTTGGCCACAACCAGATCCACAGATGGGGCACCTCATTTGTCAAACAGTGAGTGTAGTGCTGTGGGATATAGCTGCCATTTGTATGCAAGATGGCATGATCAGCTCAACAGATCCTCAGGTATATTGCTTGTCCCAGCAAAGTCAATTACAGTAAAGGAATTCACTTGAGGGATGTACCAGTTTCAGATTGGAGCCACAAGGTGAGAAAGAGGAATTGATCACGTGCATCCTTGTTTGTTGATGTTGTGTTAGTTGGAAGCCCAAAGGGACTTCTTCACTTCTAACAGTTGTTGATAGCATGATGCTTTTCTGTGTTGAACCAGGTGTCCTCTGTGGTCACATCACCCTTTCAGGGATGTGTCGGTGGTGAAAACCTTGGAAGGCAGTGCCTGGACAAAAGGGATTCACTATTTGGTGTGGTCAACATTCACCTACCAACAGGAAGAACGGTGAATCTAGTATGTATATACAGGCTGGCTGAGTATTGGCAGTGGAACTAAATACCCAAAGAAATGATTACCCAGGGTACTGTTATTACAGCCATAGGTTTGAGCAAGTACTGCATACAATATGCAGTTGTCCAAGGATGGTGGTGCAACTGTGACATCAGTGCTATCTCACAGGGTCACAGCTGGATTTTGACAAAACTCTTTCCTTGGTGGAATCAAAAATTGCTCCTATTTATATCACTTGGGTTGGAACAAGTGTTGAGTTCTCATTGTTCACAGAAGAACTCAATGAGTGTAGAAAGGAACATGGATACAGTTCCTGCTCTGCTGACCTAGTCATCCAGGTATGGATAGAGCTGAACACCTTGAAGTGAGCCCAATAGGGTATGTGCATTGATATGGTGGGAGAGAGGTTCCTATCTAAATTCCTCAGTTAGACAAGTTTCCTGAATGAAGTTCTGTATGGGCACATAGCCCATATATGTGATGCACTGAAACCATGAAGAACTAAGTTATGATTGCACACTCAATACTGAAAGCAAAATAAAATACCAAGAAGAAATGGACAATTGCGCCTGAATTATCAAGTTGCATTCAAGCCAAAGAAGGTAGATTGAAATACATACTGCTGGAATAATATACACTACTATTATGTACTGGAATAAAAATATTAGAGAAGGAAGCAGTTTTTGTTAAAACAAATAACAATATTTGTTAAAATACCAAATTATGTTTCAAAGATTGGTTTTAGTTTTCCATAATGATAAATCAGAAATAACATTTATGTGTAATTGATTTGTGGATGTTCATGGGACAGAAAGACATGACAAAATATTAGAAAATTGATAAAATTCATAACTTTCTGGAATGATAAACATCATGAGTAGTGTTTAACAGATCTATTTTGAAATTTGTCTGTATTCTCCTACAGAACATGTGGAAGAAAAATAGAGAATTGGTCAACTGCTTTCTTATTTAAACCAGATTCTATTTCAAAAGCTTCCATACCAATAGACAAACAGAAACTGAATGACTGCATAATATTTTTGTATAATACTCTACTGCATGCTTTCCATCTTAAGAAATAGTTATTTCTTCATCTGTGAATTATAGCTGAGGACATCTTTATATTACTGTTCTCAATTTCTAAAGGACATACCTCCAAGTCACTGTCAGGAGGGGGTGATGGGTTATTTTTCCTCCCTCTGCCCCTTGATTTTGACCCAGAACTCCTACATGTTCTTTCATCAAGATCTTTGATTGGTGTTGAGGGGCTCTGCACAGTGTCAAACTCTCCTGTAAACAAAATAATTCATGAAAATGTAATGTTATTTTTACCACAATACAAAGAGATGCTACATGGTTTTATATACCATTATTCAAATAAAGTGTTTCTAAAGGTTTGGAGATTGCATTTTTAGTATTTATTCTTTCTAGGGAATTAAGGCAGTCTGCTCAGTGGGGATTTCTGCCTTCTTTAACTGTGATATCATCTGAGTAAAAAAGTTTCCTACAGCAGGAATCCATCAGATTTCCTTGGATCAACTCCAGTCCACTTTCTCTCTGCCCTACGTCCATCTTTTGCTGAGCATTCACATGGTCATCTGGCAGGAAGCAAGTCCAAGTGACTCTGTGAGGCCAGCCTGTGCACCCATTTCTAAAGTAGATTTCTGCTTCCACACATGACTTGTGGAGTTCATATAAAAAATTGTATACTTAGTGCAAAGAAGGGGTATGCTAACATTCTCAAGTACTGACTTGAGCTCAGCTTTGTTTGCTTCCTGGTCAGGGCTGAGTACAGGAAAGAAGTCCAGTGAGTGTTAAGAAAACAGGTTCAATCTGGATCTTTGCATCTCTAGTTTCTTATATAGCAAGATCATGTCTGGACTATGTAAGGAAGTAATGTGGGAAGAAATTATTTGGAAGTGCAAGGAATGTGATTTTGTGGGTGTGAATCCATCATATTTACTTGGCTTGGTGCGCTTTCCCTTTGCTTTAAGCGAAGCACTTGGGTGGGCATCTCGCAGGAGGTGAGTTCAGTTGTTGAACAGGTATAACGAAACACATTCCACACATGTGACTTGCAGACTTTACATATTTCGCACAAGAATAATTCAATGTAAATCATTCCCAAGCATTTATGAACTTTTTCACAGTTTGGCTCACTTCCTAGCCAAACTGGGCCAAGCATAGGAAAGAAGTCTGGCAAGTGCAAAAGTTGGAACCCAAGGAGAGCTCTGAATCAGATTAACCCATGCCATGCCTCCAATTCTTTTACATCTTCTGAAATGGAAGATGAAGGGGGATGTAAGTTTCTATACGGTCCAGACAGGTACGATCTGGGATCAGATCTCTCTTGTGGGGTGGACCTTCTCTGTACTTTTATAAAGTGTCAGGACATCTCTAGGAATCTCTATCTAATAAATCAGAAAACAGAGAACAGAGAGAAAAGGTATCATGTGTTGGGTGGTGAGGTGCTTACTTCTCTAATTTTATTAGGAAGAACACAAAATGTAAAACCAAGTCAAATTTCTCATTTCCTTTATTACTGGTGGCAAGACAACAAGAGTAATTCTGTCCTGCCTTTGAATATGTTCCCTTTTTATACTCTTCAAAACTCCATCTCCCAGCAATTCTGTACCACCTTCTTCAGGAAGGCAGGCTCTGCAGAAAGCCAGACACCACCTTGTCTCAGTGCAACATGTATACCAGATATTAAAGGGCAGCAGGAAAAATACTTTTCTAAATAAGCTTCTTTAAGATATGGATGCTGAAGTTGAAAGGGAGCTGCCATGAGCATGAAAAGAAGGCTCCAAATGGGAAATGTGTGTATTGTTGATGGGATGATAAAAGGGCACTCTATTCAGGAACTCTTTGTACACAGAACATTTCATAAGGAAAGCTGGATGAGGATCAGAGGAAGGAAGAGTGAAAATTGGCATCCATAATTTGAGATTTACAGATGATGCCATATTACTGGCAGAAAGCAGCAATGAATTGAAATGACTCCCGATAAACCTGAAAATAGATGCAAAAGAAAGGACTGTAGCTGAACATTAAAGAAAAAAACACTACTATTGAAGAATTAGACAACTGTAATGTCAACATGAAGAAACTGAAATTATGAAAATAATTGTATACCTTCGCTCAATCATCAATTCACAGAGATTGCAACCAAGAAATTCAAAGAAGACTGAGACTTGGAAGGACAGCAATGCAGAAAGTAGGAAAAAATATCCAGTTTAAGGATGGTTCATTGCAGAGCAAGGCCAAGTGCATGTGCATTCCCAATCACTATGTATGGATGTGAAAGCTAGACAGTGAAGAGAGCTGACAGAAAATTGATGAGTTCATACCAAGGTGCTGGAGAAGAGCTTTGTGGATACCTTGGACTGAAGGAAAAAAACAACAACAAGTGGGCCCTAGCTAGAACTTTACCTAGAAACAAAAATGATGAAACTGAGGCTTCTGTATGTTGGGCATATTGTGAGAAGGCAAGACTCACAGGAAAAGGCAATAATGCAAGAGAAAGTCAAAGGTGGAAGAGGAAGACAAATATGAAATGGATCAATTCCATAAAGGAATCCATACCCTTGCATTGACAGGACCTGAACAGGGCTTTCACGGCTGGAACATTTTAGAAGGCATTCATTCATCTGCATTACATCATTCTATTACACACATGGATCTCTTCTTCTTTAAAAGAATTGGTGAGACCATCTACGCGTGAGAACCACATGTGCAATGGAGTTAATGCAGAGCTTCTGAATGGAGTCACTGTAGTATTATACCACATTTCAAGGTTTTGTCCTGAGATAAACAATAGGTTCTGCCTAGTTTATAAAAACACTGCCTCCCTGTCACCTTCCAGCTAACATTTAGAGAAAAAAGAGAAAAAATGCTGTGTACAAAAAAAGAGACAAGGATCTAAATCCAGAAACATGATTTCTTCAATTTTTGAATTTAATTTTAAAACCTGCTTAGGTTCAATATAATGTTTAATATAAGGCAAATTTTGCTTTGCCTATTTATTTATTTATTTATTTATTTATAAGTTACTAAAACATACACTGATCACTCCATATTAAGTATTGTTTTGATTCACCTGATCCCAATTATTATTCTTCTCCTTTCCCTGCCTTGCAAAGTAAGCATATATTATTTTCAGTTTCCACTTTACATTACCATTTACTCTAAGCTTAATTTTGGGATCAAGTTTGTATGCAATAGTGTAATTTCTCATTAACCAATCTAAGTAATCATTGAATCTTGAATGTCCTGGATATTTAGAGCCAACTTTATTTCATTAAGCTAATCTCTAAATCAGAATGGCCAGCTGTCTCCTACTTGAATGGAAGGTATGATACTATTTTTGGACCGCCAGAGTGATGGCTCTTTGAGCAACTGCAAATTTAGTTGCTTGAATTACTTTTTACAAATAATAATTATTTAAATTACACTCAAGTGCTTTCTTTCCCTTAAATAATGCTGTGCATATAAAGAAACGGTGCCAACAGAAGTGTAGTATTTTACCTAGAAATATATTCAAGCCTATAAATAATAAGGAACAACTATAAATCCTTACGCCAAGGTTCCTAAACCATGTTGGCCTGGTAGGTGCATCTGAAAGTGTGAGAGTATTGTAGGTATCATGATGAGTGTGACAAATCTTAACTCCTAGAAAGCAAACTGGTTAGACTAAAAAATTATAGTAATTTTATAAAAAATCTGAAAACAGAACACAAGTGAGGACCTGCTTTCCAAAATACAAAACTACTCTCTTGAACCCACCATTTTATATTCAATACCCTTTTCACAAGCTCACATACTGTAACTTGGCCAATAAACTCTTCATAAGGTTGGTGCATTATTATGTACTTGACTCCATGGACCACAACAAAATACCTACTATGTTTCCCCGAAACTAAGATCAGGCCTTATATTAATTTGTTCCAAAAGACGCATTAGGGCTTATTTTCAGGTTATGTCTTATTTTTTCTTACGAAAGCTGTAAGAATCTTGCCCTAAGAGTCCTCCACGTTTCCTTTCTTGTACTCGATGGAATAGCTCTTTCTTTTTGACCCCTCTTGCATTTTACATCCATGTATTAAGTACATCTGTTACAACACACAATGTATTGGCGTTATTAGTGTGTTTTCAGCAATAAGTCTCACGTTCATCTGTTTACCTGCTTCATGCTTCAGTGTTTACAAATACTTAACTATAATGTATATTATAATTTAAGTATTGTCAATAATGTTATTTATATTTAATTATATATTAACATTATTATTTTATAATTCAATACGGCTATCATGTGCTGCAACAGAGGTGCTACCATGTTTCCACATCCATCTGGCTGATGATCTTAACTGGGGCTTATTTTTGGGGTAGGGCTTATATTACGAGCATCCTGAAAAATCATGCTAGGGCTTATTTTTGGGGAAACACAGTGTTTCAAAGAAGTTAAATTGCTCACAGAAACAATGTATAGTAAAACTATGGAAATTGCTTCAATGGATAGTGGTGATGGCCAGGTGGGTTTTAAAAGGGATTGGACAGATTCATGGAGGAGGTGGCGGCGGCTACTAGCCTTCCTAGCTGTGTGCTACCTCCATTATCAAAGGGGGCATACCTGCATGCACCAGTTGCTGAAGAGCTTTGACAGGCGGAGGTCTTGCACCCATCCTGCTTTAGGGATCTCTGGGAAGCTGGTTGGACCATATAGTGCCTTTATTTATTCATTCTGTAAGAATGAGCAACTACTGCACCATTGCACTCATTTCACATGCTAGCAAAGTTATGCTCAAAATCCTACAAGCTAGGCTCCAGCAGTATGTGGACTGAGAACTACCAGAAGTACAGGCAGGATTTCAAAGAGGGAGAGGAACTAGAGATCAAATTGCCAACATACGTTGGATCATGGAGAAAGCTAGGGAGTTCCAGAAAAACATCTACCTCTGCTTCATGGATTATGCTAAAGCCTTTGATTGTGTGGATCACAACAAACTCTGGCAAGTTCTTGAAGTGATGGGAGTACCAGACCATCTTATTTGTCTCTTGAGAAACCTCTATGTGGGTCAAGAAGCAACAGTGAGAACTGGACACGGAACCACTGATTGGTTCAAAATTGAGAAACGAGTTCGGCAAGGCTGTATACTGTCGCCCTGCCTATTTAATTTATATGCAGAGCACATCATGAGAAAGGCGGGGCTAGATGAATCACAAGCTGGAATTACGATTGCCAGGAGAAATATCAACATCCTCAGATATGCAGATGATACCACTCTAATGGC